TACGGTGGCGGAAGCGGTGGAGGTACCTCCACGCCCTCCCGTCACGCCGCAACACACCACATATACAAAACCAGCAAAAAATAACCTGGAAATGAATGATACAAACACAGATTCAACCCAATATTCAAAGCACTAACCACCACAGAGAACCTTGTTTCTGAAGTTGCATTACAGAATTTTGTGCATGACAAGCTATTTGATTGAAGCTTATGAGACAACCCCCTTCAAATGAGATATTAAACAAACTTAATTTTAATTTAAATTGTTCAAAATATAAATTTATTTGCTTTGCCATCAATCGATAATGAAATTCGCTCAACTTAAAAGCTACAACAGATATAAGTTCTAAAAGTTTGTGATTATGTTATATTAGTATAGTTATTGACTTTCTGGATGTTATCCATCATCCTGTTATTGAAAAGCATTTTGGAGACTGGACCGTCTCCATCTTCAGGCAAAAGCCTACTCAGATGGGCCCAGTTGATAGAACCAGTCCCCATCTCTGAACACTAGAACCAACCCAAGACAGGATATATAAACCAAACATAACATAAACCATCGACAGGATTTAAGACAGACTTTACAAAACTTCACACACATGAGGCCTTGCACCCATGCCCATGCATAAGTTAACTGCCAGAGTCCATAAAATGACAGTACTATCAAAATAGAGGCTACCACTGAAGAGAAATTCTAAATGAATAAAATATACGAGGGGAAGTCAATAATTATCCACAATGCAGTTGTATTTGTGTTTCTGTTGGCAGCACTGTCATTCTGCGCAGCATCACCATGTGTGGTTTCCTTGTCATTATTTCTGCGCAAGTTTGATGTTGCTAGGTCAGTTCCATCGTCACTGCCTTGCCGTTAATCATGGCTGCTCCGCTTTCTGTTTGCACCAAAGAAGAGCAACGTTCAGTGATCCGGTTTTTGTGGCCGCAATCCATCAAAGACTTTCAGCACAATACGGGAACAGTGTTTTGCCGCAACAGAGTGTCTACGAATGGATTAAAAAATTCAAAAATGGTCGCACAAGTGTTACGCATGAGGAAGGAGCTGGACGACCATCCACGGCCACAAATGAGGACAACATTGAGCGTGCACGTGACATGGTTCTGTTAGACAGACGAGTGACTATTGATGAAGTGGCAAATCGTCTGCAAATTAGTCATGGTTCTGCCTACGAAATCATCCACAACAGACTTGGGTTTCATAAAGTCTGTGCAAGATGGGTCCCAAAACAACTCACAGTGTTGCATAAACAAATGTGCTTGGACATCTGCCAACAACATTTGGATCGCTATGGTAATGAACGTGACGTCTTAGACAGAACATCACTGGTGACGAACCATGGAGCCATCATTGCGAGCCGGAGAGTAAACGGCAGAGTATGGAATGGAAACATCCACAATCGCCCAGCAAGAAAAAGTTCAAAAGCCAACCATCCGCAGGGAAACTGATGCTTACAGTTTTTTGGGACTCACAAGGGCCAGTACTGGAACATTATCAGGAGAGGGGCACAACAATAAACAGTGCTCATTACAGTGAGATGCTTACTGACAGGCTAAAGCCTGCAATTCGAAGCAAACACCAAGGACTACTGTCGAAAGGTGTTGTATTGTTGTACGACAATGCCCGTCCACATACTGCTACCCACACTGCTGAAACCCTCCGGAAACTCAAGTTTGATGTAATGGCTCATCCTCCGTATAGTCCTGATCTCGCCCCTTCTGACTACCACTTGTTTGGTCCACTCAAAGAGGCATTAAGGGGCCGTCGATTCACCTCGGACCAAGAAGTGAAGGAAGCGGTGCATGCGTGGCTCGCTGCTCAGCCGAAAACCTTCTTTTCTGAGGGCATCAGGAAGCTTGTGCAACGATGGACCAAGTGCGTTGAAAAGCAAGGGGCCTATGTTGAAAAATGATGTTAATGTAAGTTTTCTATTTGTATTGAAACAAAATTTATAGCTACATTGTGGATAATTATTGACTTACCTACGTAAAAATAATTACATGACATAGTCCGTCAACCTATAAAATCTGAGATAAGACAAAAATGTACATGTAGATACAATAAATGTGAAAGAGTAAAATCCAAGCAGAGAAGCATTTCTACAAAGGAGGGAGAGTCAGTAAATAGGTCAGAAATGGAAGTAAAACAGTTGTAATGGATGTAATATGTTCTCTATGAGTATCACTAGGTAGCAACACAGTCCAGCTTCATGGCAGTCTAGATAGCAGATGCACATATGCCTGTCCAGAGGCAGGTTTTATTAGTCAGAATGGCTACTGTGCTTGAAGGTGTACTATTGAGGAGCAGCGTCCTGTTGTGCGTGTTTTGTGGGCAAAAGGACCCAGTGCAAAGAATATTCATAAAGAAAACCAGGACGATGGATAAAGTCCGGAAACCCAATATCTCTGTGTTATACACCATCGTCAGAATCCTATAGAAACTAATTGTATCAGTGTTGGTGGAGGATATGTCTAGAAATAAATGTTTTTCCCAGGTTTGAGTATTAGATGTTTTACATTTCATATGGTTTGAGTATCAGATGTTTTACATTTTATATCCGTTTGTGATCCGACTCCCTTGTATACCAAATGGGACATAACAGAAGGTAAGACCAAGATTTAAATGAGGGATCTGTGTGGTACCAACATAAAAACACCGCTTTCCGCTATAATCTAAAGTGGCCTGAGTTATAGTTCTATGACCTCTGCTTCAGTGATGGGAGCCCAAATGGGAGAGAGGTGGTGATCAGATATGTGTATAACAAAACTGAAGTTCTCAACTTGTTGCATCATTAAATATTTCTTCTATAACCATCTATATAGGTTGAAGACGTGGACCTTCGTTTCAGTAAATTGGAGAAACTTAAACTAAACAGTTGGAGAGAAGAAGAGAATACAGTATGTGTGGAGGCAAAGCGACCTGCCACTAGAGGTTCAAAGCAGGCTAAGAAAGTGCAAAAGCCAGCAAAATCTTCGATACGTGCAATGATAACAGGTATGTGGAATGCAGATCTAAAATGAGATATACTTACATTCTTGTGTTGAATCAAGGGTCATCTTTAATTAGCATACTGAAAGCATAACATGTTAAGAGATAATGCATTCAATATTAGTAGAAATAAGTATATTAATCAGCTATGGCTGTTGTGATGTGATAAGAGGTGGAATATTACATGTTTTCAGGACTTCATTTTCATATTGCAGTAAATTATTGTAGCCTGTATCATTTTATACAGATTATTGGATGATGGAAAGTAGATACTGCTGTGCCCTTGTGTTCAATGGTACTGTAATCATAGAGTAAAGTATAAAGTTTAAAGTCATGTCAAGTGATGTTATTTAAGTATGCAGAATGAAACAGGAGTTGTGTTATTGATCAGAGATAAATTATATGCTAAATATTATCATTCAGAATGCTTTGTTAAGTGAAATGTTTTCAACAACTCCCATTTTTTGTTTCTGTTATACCTGAGCAGTCTCAGATGTAACCGTTCATTCTGATTGGTGGGCTGTTGTGTATTAATTATACCTATATTGAGTAAATATCAAGTAAATACAAAGAGATCCGGCAGATAGCCAACTCTTACACACAGAAGGGACATAGTTCAAGTTTTGCTATGTGGACAGGAAGTAACATCTAGTACTTTCCTGGAATTCTGGCAGTTTCAGCAAAGTCAGAAAGTCTTTGAGAATTTGCGAGCTGACAGCTTGGGACAGCTATAACTTAGAAGTGGGATGGCCGGAGCCCCATCCCCTGATCGTAATGCATCAAGGGGCTGTCAACCTTAGCGTCAGGTCAGCATCTGCCAGAATCACATAGCAAAGCAACATGATTGGAAATTCAAAATTTAGGGAACCTCCTAGTTTGAAAACTTGACCAATGGCAGAAGTGGAGGAGTGGATTTCTCTTGGAGTCTGGGGTTCGTGGACCTCAGGATTCAGAGAGAGTGCATTCCACCTCGAGGAGTCTTCATCCAACTTTCGGCAAAGTCGGACACAAAATTACTACTACGTCCCTTCCGTAAAAGTATTACAAGTAAAGTTCTAAATAAGTGTTATTAATATATTCATCTGTATTCAGTGAGCTGGAGGGAATTAAATGATTACTAAGTGCAACGGTCTAAAGAGGTGTGTGTGATTGTAGTGAAAGATTCTTCCTGCCCTGCCCGAGCCAGACCCGTATAAGACCCGGGATATGAACTCAGCTCTACAAATTACCAAACAGAACCCAGATACTCCCGTCTTTACTTGCTCTTGCGTACCAGCTCCAACAACCACAATTCTCCTCCCTTCCCACCTAACTTCTCGACATCCACGAGAAGAGGGAGGATGGTGATAAGTGGAGCACAACGTAGGATCAAGGAGGATGGCAGTACAGAGTCAAAATTGTCTTCAATTCATATAAATGTGGCAATTTTCACAGAATGGTGGTAAGCATGTGAGTTGAGAATAGATGAAATTTTACAAAAGTGGGGCAAATTTAACGATACAGTCTTCTGGGATATTAGGCCATATGTGACACTGGGTTCCTTCCATGGAAAACCAATACATCCATTGAACTTTGAAGTCTAGGTTGGTGATGATATTTGGCATAAATGTTGGTCCCATAGCCATATGTCTTTACATGTTCCTTATTTTATCTTCTGTCATTTTGTTTTAAAATACTGGGTGGTAAAAAATCATCCTGACTGGTAAAAGTATGTCTGTGAGGTATATCTTTAACAACTCTTTTGAAAGTGAACTCAGAAAGACGCACAGCCTCTGCTGTTGTAGAGGCATATTTACCTCATCATTGCATAGCAACAGTCGCGGCGTGGACCCCATAGAAAACAGTCTCTATTGCTGAGGTTGTTTTTAAAACCATTGCTTGGCAACACGTTGATCAAATACATTACAGTACTTTTGTTTGCTAGTTCTTCCTCTTCCCACCATTTCAGGTTCTGTCTGTCAGTTGGTGGTTTGATATATGGTTGTGAGACTTCGCTGTTATGTGATAATTTACATTATAATATAGGGAGATTGAAGTCCTGCACATCACACTAAGCAATTATATTTTGCTGGTTTAATGCACAAACTACAAGACATACAGCACTTTCTATTAATGTTTATAACCTTACATCTTAGAAATGAAAAATCAAATCATGTCTTTACAACATATGCTCAAATGGCTTCCCTGTTCAGCAGTGCATGCGCGAGCCCTTTTTACCATGTTTGAGACCGCTTTGTGGTGCACCTGTAAACTAATGCTGTTGATCACCATTGTAATGTTCCTCTTGAGGTCATCCAGTGTATGCGGATTGTTTTTATAGACAATTCCTTTGAGATACTCCCAAAGGAAAAAAATCTGTGGGTGACAAATTGGGCGAACGCAGGGGCCACAATCCTTTCGAAATGAGATGGTCACCGAAAAACTCTTGCAAGAACTGCATGTTGTCATCAGATGTGTGACATGTGGCACTGTCTTGCTGCAACCAACACTCAAGCGTTTCTACTCGTTAGTACTCCTACAGTACCATATAACAGTAGGAGATATATTAACTGCAGTACAATTTGTAACAACTTTTAGTTTGATGTGTGAGACTTTTTGATCTCCCTGTACTTTGTATGGAAGCATGTTATGTATTTCCATGATCTGTATTCCTTTGTAGCGGCACGGAAGAGAAGGCAAATAGAATCACCTGAAGATGTTGGAGGTGTCAGCATGAATCCTGCATGTACCCCAAAACAAGGTGGTAAGAGAGATCTGCTTTCTTAGTTTATATGTGTTCCCTTTGTTGAAGTCCTTAAAATGTTTGTTTTGTGTTTTACTTGGATCTGAAATGTATTGTATTCTAATCTTGCTTATCTTAGTGTTGTAAATAATAACTGCAAAGAAATTAAGAGACTGTAAAGCCTTGTTTGACACTTCTATCAATCTCAGCTGTTTTCACTTATCTATGTTGCAATGTTTATCATAATTTGCGGCAGTTATCTTGTCACCGTTCATACCTACTTTTGCACTTCAGTTGATTTCTTTGGACCGCCTCTGTGGTCTAGTGGTCAGATTTCCTGGCTACAGATCCAGAGGTCCTGGGTTTGATTCCTGACGCTACCAGATTTACTGAGAAATAGTGGGTTGGGAACAGGGTCCACTGAGCCTCATGAGGATAATTGAGGAGCTACTTGAATGGAAAAGTAGTGGCTCCAGTCTATAAAACTGACATTAACAGCCGTGGGAATCCATTGCACCGACCACATGACACCCTCTATCTGCAAAAGTTGGCACTAACTTTGCCAACAAGTGGTGGTCGCTTGGTTGGTATATTTCGCTTGTGGACTAAAACCACGGAGTTTAGTTTTTAGTATAGTTGATTTCTTTGTCCACTTGTTATTTCACTGGAACACCACTGCGCCCTCGCTGAACATGCCCCTTCTTTCTCTTTATCACTTGACTGACCTGCAAACTGACTCACTAATTGACTGCGTTGTCTGGTTTACTACCTCATGGCAGATTCTGCACTGCTCTGAATTGAACTAGCTGAACACACACCTGCACTACACTGTAACTGAACTTCAGTAGACTAAAGTGGTCTCTTCTCATGCAAGAGCTTTATAATTTCATAAATGTGCCATTGAGAGGGTTCTGATGAGTGCTTGGGTGACTGTGACCTGGATCAAAGTTGCCTATTAAGCGTACAAGAGTACATGAGAGGCTGATGCAGTAATACAAGGTGTGACAATTTAATTCCTGGAATGGCCTTATTGTGTCACTGGGGTTTTGAGTCAGGCAAACCAATTTACCCAAGCACATTTGGACATGTCCCAATTTGCATTTACATGAGCCACAAATCAAATGAGTTATCTGTTCCCAAACAGCAGAGAAATTAGTACATGTCCGTGAGTGACAAGAATCTGGAGCAGTGGATAAAGATCAAGTTTTGCATGAAGATTGGTATAAGTGCTAATGAAACGTAAGCCCTATTAACAGTGGCATATGGTGAATGTGCTATGAAGAAATTGAGTGTGTCTGAATGGCATAGGCAGTTCAGGGAAGGGCGAGATGATGTGCAAGATGATCCAAGAAGTGGGCAGACAAAAATGCAAATGACAAATGCAAAATGTGGACAGAGTACGAACATTGGTGCACTCAGATTGAAGATTAGGCATGAGACAAATAGCAGAAGAATTGAATATGAATAGGAAAACAGCGTGACAGGGTATTATAGAGGATTTGGGAGTGAGAAAAATTTCTGCGAAGCTGGTGCCTCGAATTTTCACAGACGACCAGAAAAAATGTCAGTTTCACATTTCATCTGATCTTTCACACAATGCAGAGATGTTTGATAGGGTCATTACCGGTGATGAAATGTGTTTTCAATGCAACCAGCAAAAAAATGCCAGAGCATGCAGTTGAAAACACAGAAGTCACCTTGGCAGAAAAAAGCACCCATGTCTCACTCCCAGTTCAAGACCATGCTTGTGTGTTTCTTTGATCAGAAGGGGATAGTAACTGTGAATTCATTGCACAAGGATAAATGCTGACTGAACAGTGTTATTGGAAGTGCTGACAAGGATACAGGTATATGTTTGGAGGAAAAGATCCAAACTCTGGCCTGACAAGTGGATTCTCCACCATGACACTGCCCCTGCGCATGATGCATTAAGAGTCCGCAAGTTCCTGGCTAAGAAGTCCATTACAAAAATGGACCATCCACCTTATTCACCTGACTTAGCCACCTGCGATTTCTGTCTCTTTCCAAAATTAAGAAATGCCCTGAAGGGACTAAGATTTGCTGACATTCCTGATATCCATCACAATGTGATAACATTACTGTGATGTATTCTGGAAAACAATTTACAAGACTGTTTCTGGCAGTGGCACCATCATCTCACGAAGTGCATATCTTCACATGGAGAGTATTTCAAAGGTAACAGCAGCTGCTAGTGCACAGGTAAGCAAATTTTGCTTTCTCAGGTCATTCCAGGAATTAAATCCTTGAACCTTATATGTATGGCCTCAGTGCAACAGTTTATGTTGGGTGGGAGCCATAATTCTTAAAATGAAGAAAAACATCCTTAATTCCAAATTAGAGCACCTCCACTCCCTCATATGTCTTTATGGCATAATGCTTAGTTAATTAAGCACAGGGACAACTTAACACTTTGGGGACTGGTGGCATATTTTTATGCCTGGCGCTTTTAAACATGGCGGACCGGTGGCATATTATTATGATTTTAGGACACGTTATTTTGAAACACGCTATACCTTGCACTGGCGCCAGGCAGACGCATGACTGGTGCGTGATAGACCTCTTGACTGTTTGCTTCGTAGTCAGTAACATGACCCCGCTGTTTATGACCCAACTGTTTTCCTTTCCCACTCCAAAAGAAAATACCTTTGTTCATCTTCCAGCTGCATGCACCAGGTGGGAAGTTACTAGTGCAAAATGGATCAAGGTCGGAAGATGTTGAGGTCAAAGCGTTTTATCGGAGAACAAGAAATATCTGACTTGTTCTTCGATGAGCTATCTGATGTCCCTTGTTAGTCTGCTAGTGATAGTGAGTGTGGCAGGGGTGAACAAAAAATTGTGGCCACAGACAGTGAAAGTGAAAGTGACAGTAGCTCCGACAAAAGTGCGGGTAGCAACATTGCAGGTACAGCCACATGGGGAAGAGTAGACAAGTGAAGCAAATTATATCGGACTCAACGCAAGTGTCTGAAGTAGCGGAACTGTTTTTCCACAATTCACAATTCGAGCATGGTTGATGTTCAAAGGAGACATGGACAGGTAAAGAAGCCTGTTTGTATTTCCGAGTATAATAGTGTCACATGTTTGGAACCCAGAAGAGATACTTCCATGGAAACGGTAGAATAGACCGTTGCATAGGAAATAACAATAGCAGTATTGTAATTCTAGCAGGAGTCTCCACGGTTACAACAGAAGGTTCAGTGCATAGCAACGGCCGCAGATATATAAGAAGGCAATACATTCAATAAGACAGTCTGGAAATAGCTGCCGAAGGACACAGTCTTGGGATAGCCGCCGCCGATGACAGTTGAGATCCAGCCTTCATACAGCACAGTTGGAACATAGTTGCCAGAAGTCAAGTGATACCACAGGCGATAATAACTGTATGGTGTGTGAGAGTGAATGTCCAATAAAGATTTGCTGAATCCGGGACCCACGTGAATTTATTTGTCGTGTGACATGCCCAACACGTGACAATATATTCATGAAGGGAGTTGATAGAGCTGATCAGTACTTGGCCTATTATTCTCTTCCTCGGAAAACAGTAAAGTGGACAAAGAAATTTGCCTTGTGGCTTATAAATTGTGCCATTTTCAATCCATTTTTGGTTTTCAAAAATCTAAACTCTCATTCAAAATTGAAATACAAGGCATTTCTGCTGAATGTGGCAAAAGCCTGGGCTACAGACCAGATGGTGGTGGCAGGCACAGACAGTGCGACCGGGTCCATCAACTCCCACTCCACGCAGGCCTCATGTGGACCCCGTGGGCGACTCTCGGGTGATATTCAGAAACATACCCTTGTGAAAATTGTGAAGAGTGAACATGCCGAGGGGAAGCAGCCTTCTAGGCGATGCCATGTTTGCACAGTACACAACAAAAGAGTATGTCTGTCTACATGTGCAAGTTCTGTGTAATGCCACTTCACAAAGGGGAATGTTTCCAGAAATATCACACTCTCAAGCACTTCTAGGAGCACTGGTAAGTGTTCTCCAAAAATTTTAGTTCATAAAATTAATTAGGAGATTGTATATTAATTTTTAAAATGAACAGTGCATGTGTTAGGGTAGTAGGTTCAAAAATGCCGGTCCCCAGGGTGATTTAAATATTTAAATCGCCGGTCCGCGGAATGTTAACCTTATCCTGCTTCTGATAAGCAGAACAATACCTTCCCATTTGGCTTGCTTCTAATATTTCTCAAATCTATTTCAGAACAGTTATAATATGTTCATACTAAAAGAGTTAAACTCACCTTTGATTTGATTGTAGAATTGGACCTCAAACAGCTATTTGCAAGAAACACAGACTAAGCAACATAGCCCCCCCCTCCACTCCATTCTGAGCTCTTGTGACCATGCTCTCTCTTCAAGGTTACTCATTCTGAAAGGCCCTTGAATACAGTGCCAGTCTGTCTCAGTGTACCACTGTCATATTCTCCAAGGATGTCATTGGATCCTGCAGATTATATATCACTAATCCTTGTAAGGGTCTTCGCATGATGTCTGCAGCCTAGAAAAATCTCCTCTCATCCAAGTTGGCACTACAGTCAGATATATCCTTTGAGGAATCTCGTGGAGTTGGCTGTGTGGCCATATTGGGCTTTATATCTGCCACTTTCTACCTTAACACATTGCGGACCGGTGGTTTAAACATTTAAATCCCTCTGGGGACCAGCGTTTTTAAACCTACTACTCTAACTTGTGCACTGTTCACTTTAAAAATTAATATAAAATCTCCTAATTAATTTTATGAACTGAAATTTTTGGAGAACACTTACCAGAGCTCCTAGAAGTGCTTGTGCATGTGATATCTCTGGAAACATTCCCCTTTGTGAAGAGGCATTACGCAGAAGTTGCACATGTAGGCAGTTCTACTCTTCTTCTTGTGCTCTGCGCGCACACGGCATTGCCTAGAAGGGTGTTTCTTCTTGCAATATTCACTCTTCACAATTTTTACAAGAATATGTTTCCGCATATCACCCGAGAGTCGGCCAGGGGGGTCTGCTCGAGGCCTCCGGCGGGTGCGAACAGATGGCCCCAGCTGCACTATGTCTGTGTCTGACGCAGGTACTGCCGCCACCGTGACGTCAGTAGCCCAAGCTTTTGCCAGTTTCAACAGAAATGCTTTGTATTTCAAAGTAGAATTTCTGTTCACCTTTTTGAAAACCGTAAATGAATTGAAAATTGCACAGTTTATAAGCCACAGTGCAACTTTCTTCGTCCATTTTACTGTTTTCCTAGGAAGGGAATAATAGGCCAAGAACTGGTCGGCCCTATCAACTCCTTTCATGAACATATTATACTCGGAAATACAAGGAGGCTTCTTTACTTGCCCGTGTCATCTTTGGACATCGACCATGCTTGAATTGTGAATAGTGGAAACCATATTCACAACGCGAGTATCCCTCCAGGACTGAAGAAGAATGTGACGCAGTGAAACAGTGACGCAACTTCAGACTTGTCCATTGGGTCCGATGGCATCTGCTTCACCCCCGGATCACCAGTAAACTTTCCCAAAGTGGGGGTTTTGTCCACTTTATCCCATGTAGCTGTCCCGACACTCGCACTTTCAACGGAGCTCTCACTTTCACTTGACACATTTTGGGCAGCCCTGTGGCCCCCATCACTGTCACTGTCACTGATAATGGCCTCGCTATCAGAAGACGAAGCAGTTGGCAAATCTGATAGCTCATCGGAGAACATCTCTAATATTTCCTGTCCTCCGAGAGATCGCAACTGCTTTCGTCTCTGAGCCATGTTGAACTGGTAGCTGCATGGTTCATACGTGCAAGCTTGGATTAGAACAAAGCCAATTTTGTTTAGGTTGTGACAGGAAAGGACTCTGGTCGAGTTACTAGACAAGGCAGCAATCATTCCCGAGGTCATCTACGCAGTAGTTACGATTCAACGAAGCCACACAGCGATATATAGCGTTTTGCAACATAACGTGACCGTAGAGGGCCATATAGCCCGACCGGTCCGCAACGCTTGGAAACGTAGAGGGCCATATGGCCCCTCCGGTCCGCAATGTGTTAAAGCGTTGACAGGTATGCTTATGTGTCTCACCTAGCTTTTCCATGAATTCCACTGTGTAATCATTTATGGGTTGCTGTTTGTTAGGGGCAGGCCAAAACAGTAGATCACAAGGTAGGTGTAGCTCTTTTTCTGATCACATGGATGGACACAGGAAAATTGTGAATTTATCTATTACATCCTTGGTTTTTTAGTCGGGTTGTATTATTTGTCCATTCTTTTCCCATATCAAAAATACAAGGAACAAGACAACATTGAGTTTATTTTTATAGTCCCCACAGTGACAAAAATGTTCTGAAGATAGCAAAAATAATATTCGTGTCAGTCCAGGCACCTTGAGACATGAAATATAAGTAACCACCAGGAGCAGCAAAAAGATTTCATGGAACTGGAGTGCAGACTTTTTTTCATGGGCATACTAGTATAGTATATCTAAGATGTGTATATGTCTGCTTTTCCTTTTAAGCTGTATCCAGAAGTGAATCCACTCCTATAGTGTCACGTAAGTCTCAGACATCTGTGCTGCAACACACATTATTAGATCAGCATAAGCGGCACAGCCGTGGGCGGAGGCAGGAACCAAGTCCCATCGTCATTAAAGTGGCTCAAATAGCCAAGGTAAGTGATGAAGTACAGGTACTCACTTGTGTGAAATTTGAACTTCTTACGACGATACTCTTTTCTGGGTGTTCAGCCATGTTGTCTGGTAGATATTTACCAACATTTCTGCCTTCGGCTTTAGAGATGCAGTTCAGCTTCCTCTGAAATGTTAAATATTGCCGGCTTTTATGGTGTAGATAGCAGTCTTCAGATACATGCTGTTTGGGGGTATTTACGGCTTTTTGTTCCTTCACTTTTTCCCTGGTAATACTCTTCCATTACTGTATGCTTATCTGCCATTCGTCCTGAGGTGTGCATGATCAAGCAGAACATTTTTACATCCTCAATTTTTAGGTAGGGCTTTTCATCTCAGACATGACACACTCACCAAATAATCCCACCCCTTCACCATCCCTTCAACCACTCACAGTATCCTTCCCCGCCACCCTCATACCACTTGGCTCTACACAAACATACCCACATATACAGAAACCCCCCAGACAAGTAGTCTAGTCTGAACCGCTACAACATGGTGACAGCGTCAGCACAGGGAGTGGCCCATACACATATCATCATAAGAAAATCTATGTTGTGCGTTCAAGTTCTAAGGTCTCCGATTTTTTTTCTCACACAATAATCATACAAAAAATTTGAAACTTGTCACTTTTCAACGTAATCTCCCTGCAGCCATGCACATTTTTCAAAACGTCGACGCCATGATTCCATGGCCGCTGCGAACGCTTCTGTAGGAGTCTCTTTTGACTACTGGAAAATCGCTAATGCAACAGCGGCACGACTGGTGAATGTGCGACCATGGAGATTGTCTTTCATCATTGGGAAAAGCCAAAAATCGCTAGGAGCCAGGTCAGGTCAGTAGGGAGCATGAGAAACTACTTCAAGGTTGTTTTCACGAAGAAACTGCTGCGTCGCGTACGTCCGATGCACTGGCGCATTGTCCTGGCGAAAGAGCACACGTGCAGCCTTTTCCGGCCATTTCTCTCGCAGTGCTGGAAGGAGCTTGTTATTCAAAACATCTTGGTAGGATGCACCTGTCACCATAGTGCCCTTTGGAACGCAATGAGTAAGGATTACACCATCGCTGTCCCAAAACATGGCCACCATCATTTTTTTCAGCACTGGCGCTTACCCAAAATTTTTTGATGGCGGTGAGTCTGTGTGCTTCCATTGAGCTGACTGGCGCTTCTTTCAGGATTGAAGAAAGGCATCCATATCTCATCCATTGTCACAACTGATGAAATTGATTGTCCTGGCGAAAGAGCACACGTGCAGCCTTTTCCGGCCATTTCTCTCACAGTGCTGGAAGGAGCTTGTTATTCAAAACATCTTGGTAGGATGCACCTGTCACCATAGTGCCCTTTGGAACGCAATGAGTAAGGATTACACCATCGCTGTCCCAAAACATGGCCACCATCATTTTTTTCAGCACTGGCGCTTACCCAAAATTTTTTGATGGCGGTGAGTCTGTGTGCTTCCATTGAGCTGACTGGCGCTTCTTTCAGGATTGAAGAAAGGCATCCATATCTCATCCATTGTCACAATTGATGAAAAGAAAGTCCCATTCATGCCTTCATCACATGTCAACATCGCCTGGCAAATTGCCATGCGCGCAACCTTGTGGTCGTCCACCAGCATTTGTGGCACCCACCTGGAGGACACTTTCCGCATTCACAGGTCTTCATGCAGGATTTTGTTCACAGATCCCACGGAAATGCCAACTTTGGAGGCAATGTTTTCCACACTCAGTCGGCGATCCTCCAAAACAACTTTCTCAACTCACTCGACCATATTGTTAGACAGGCTGGTGCAAGGCCGAGATTGTTTTGGTTCATTGCCACACGACTTTTGGCCTTCTTTGAGCTGTCGCACCCACGAACGCACATTTTTCACATTCATGACACCATCACCACGTGTCTCACTCAACTGGTGATGAATTTCATTGGGTGTCGCACCACGCAAGTGGAGAAAACGACTGATTACTCGCTGTTCTTGTAAGGAAAACATTGCAATTGTAGGTATCAAAAACACTCCTCACACTTGCCCCCACCACTAGAGTTCTATGTGCCATACAGTGCTGCCATCTCTGTCACGCATTCACAAAGAGTGCACATGTATTTTAAACTAAACCGCATGTGTCTATCTGCTCCCAGTCCTGAGAAAAAAATCGGAGACCTTAGAACTTGAACGCCCCTCTTAATATACATAAGTACATTTTTTTTTCCTTGGCACTACAGTCCCAGTGGGCCTAGGCCTACCTCCATGAACTTCTCCATTCACTTCAGTTTTTCTAGATCTTACGCATTTGGTAGGACTCCTTGGGCGGGTGATCAGCTCGTCGCAAGGCCTCTACCTATACACAAACACAGGAAAACCCACACACACAAACTAAACATCCATGGCCTGACTGGATTTCGAATCCACGATCCCGGTTTCCGAGCAAGCGAAGGCAGTACATGCCTTAGACCGCTTGGCTACCGTGACTGGTGTACGTACATATACTAAACCTAATAACGAGTTTAATAACAACATACTTACAAGATTCGCATTTAGATCACTCCAAGTAAACAACCTGTTGGGTGACATACAGAATAATGAGCATAAGCTTCATATGACAATACTAAGGTTAAAACCACATGACCTAACTTATGCGAGAAGATCCTGATATGCAGGCTCCCCACACTATAGTCACTTCTACCACCAGAAAATCATGTCAACATGCATCAGTCACGGAGTTTTAAAGATATTAATCACAAAATATTTCATTTCCCTGTTTGTACAATTTTAATTTTTATGTTTTAATCTTTAGTCTTTAATTTTTAAATTTTATTATCTATGTGTTTTAAATTTTAACTGAAAGATTCAATTTATGCATTTAAAAATTCTCAAGAGCACAATAAGGATCCTTATTGAAGAATTAGATGCAAATAGATGTAATTCAACAACTGAGACTGGTATTAGTGCACGCCTGATGATGACCCAGTATAAGGGTCGAAACATGTAGGATCAACAAAAACAAATGTTGATACAGTAGTGTCGTGCTTTGTTTTTAAATACAGAATATTGTTGTGTAGACTGCCACCCCTTTATACACATTATATGCCCTATTTATAAGACAACAAGATCCATACTATTAAGATTCTTGGGATTAGTTCTTTCCACATGAAACTTCTGTTTTGCCTGTTTGCTTACCAGCAGTATCTCCCAGGTTTTCCTACTCCCCCTTCCCCCCAACTACCTGGCATTGGGCAGTATCACAGTTAGTCCTCTGAAAGTTCTGTTATCAAGTATACTTGATTGTCGTCTAAGAAGTTCAGTCAGTCTGGCCGCATCTTTCGGTGAAGAGAAGTCCAAGTGCATTTGTGAATGTCATGATGTGGGAACATTGTAGTCTTGGCAATTACATATCTAGATCTGGGAAAATTTACCATGCTTACCCCATTAGCATTATTAGTTTTACATAAGCTGCTGTTCACAGTTGTTGGTTTGGAGCTATTTCCATAGCTTAATGGCTAGACAGAGTTCAGGTTGATAGTTTAATTTGTTGGAGACTTATTGCTCTTAACTACAAGTAACTATAACACTTTTGTTACACCTCACAATCTTCAGTTAACTACAGAACATTCAAACTTTTTCCAGTCTGCTGGATCTTCACATGCTTATTGCTTTGTAACAGCCTCCAATAACCAGGATTCTCCTCAATGCTATTTACTCGTTGGGTACCTTCCTTGACAGCCATGGTTCAGTTTGGGTGAATTTCTGCTTATCCTTGCCAGCACAGTCATTCTTGGTTCTGGGTCCCATGGAGCTCATGACTATATTTTTTGTCTTATGACTTGGGAGTTATGCAACTACACTCTCAGTTCAGTTCAGGAAAATTACTGCTGGCCATCACTAGCTGATTTTATTTATATACTTTTTTATCAGGCTGATCAGTAAACAATATCACCAACAGCTCCTCTACTGCTGTGTGCATAATGTTACTGAATAATCCATTGCTAGGCAATGGCTCGGTAAGCACGGGCTGAAAGTCAGAATAGCAGCAGAAATGGAAGTTAATTTACTAGGCAACGGCATGCAAACGTCTGTTTCCGTGGCAGTGAATATTAACCCTTTCGTGTGGTCATTTAAATTCAGCTGCTGTGTCTCTCCGGCGGTAATATATTCAGCCGACCATTTAAATTTTGCTCGAAAATGATTTATTCATTATTGTTCTTAAATTATATGAGATAGGAACATGAAACTTTCACTAAAATGATCTTAAAAGGTGGTTTTATAACCTTACCTTATAATATGAGCGCCCGGTATCTCGGCAATGGAAGCAGTTGGTTTAGAATTTGAGCAGTATATGATACGCCTTGAAGCATGAAACTTTCACTAAAATTATCTTAAAAGATGGTTTTATAACCTTGCCTTATAATATGAGTGCCCGGTATCTCGGCAATGGAAGCAGGTGGTTTAGAATTTGAGCAGAGTATGGTACGCATTGAAGCATTCTTCTATACACAACGCTGTCTCACATTCACCACACCAATACTGCGTATCTCTCATTTGGCTCTTTTTTCCGTAAACCAAACATCTTCTGTGCGGTCTTGCGTTCTTCTCAAAGGGGGAATACGAGGAAATATCTTTCCGTGAGTCGTATAGCTTGCCAGATCAGCTGCAGTAAATTCAGCCTTTATATGTTATCATAACAAGTGGTTGGTGCTATGCGTTTTATATTCCATCCATTTTGGCTGCAGCAGATGTCGTAGGGGTGACCACAGAATTCATGAAGTTATTCTAAGAACTGGCTGGTATGTAGTGCACGAAAGCAGAGCTTAGCTGGCTCAAAAAAATATTTATGGTCATCCCTCGAAACGACCACCAAGGTCAGTACGATAAAATGGAGTCAACTGGAGCGATAATACATGAAGGAATGAGTTCTTTTCCCTCCCCCACACACACCCGTATCGTCACAGGGGGTGACCACAGTGTTCTGCCTTAATTCGTGACGTTTTTCTAAGANCTACCAGAAGCAACACGAATTTGCTGCAAGACAGGCATATGTAACGATGACTTAACGCAGCTAAAGTCATGTCTCGTTATATACTGTTCTTCTGACAACAGGCCAGCGAAAAATCTAACAATCTACAGCAAAACCATCAATTATTATGGGCGTTATAACATAGGTGTGCAGTTGGACGAAACATTGACGTCGAACCCCCGCAGACGATTTAAATACCTTGACGAAACATACACGTCAAACCACGCTGAACGGTTGACAAAGGCATTCCCATGACAACAAATAGAATAACAGGACAATTAACTGTTCGACATGGTGACTTATATTCGGGCCGCATGGCATATATAAGAGGGAGTTCATTCATGAGCTTGAGAGGTTCAGATTGGTCTGAGAATAGTCAGAGGTTCTTCCTAGAGATTTGTCAGACAGATGTTGTTCAGAAGGAGTTCAGTGGTTGCCTCATTGGCTCTTCTCTGATTTTCATATTCCAGCTTTTAAGTGTCATGTCAAAATATCTTGTCTCTTAAAGTTTGATTTGAAGCCCTAAGAGAACTAAGTGTTGACATGATTCCAGTACATACAAAGTAGTATGTCTGTAATTGATGATTCTTATTCCTGGTTCCATGATAAAATGCACAATTTTCTGTTGGCTCAGTGCCATCTCATGTGCTGTACTCACTAAATCTAGTATATACTTGGTTAATTCTCTTGTACTGTGTATGGGAAACTGCTAATCATTGTTTGTTGGTACAGGCATTGTCCTCGATTTTTTAATTTGAATGGTCTTGGCTTTATGTAAGATTTTTGGACTATTATCAGCAGTTGATGAAATATCAACAGTATTCAGATTTAAATGTGTATATGTGATTTGGTTTATGTTTAGTTTTCAGAGGCTGCTTGTGCTCCAAGTCCATGCACAAAGTCTTTGCCAACCCAGACATCAAGAAAGAGTATTCTGAAGTCTGTGATGAATAGTCTTTCTACGCCTACAAATACAGCTTTAAATATTGACAATCAAAATGTTAATGGTGAGTATTTCTACAAACTGATAAAAGTGACCTAGATTTAGTGTAGGTCTGTCATGCCTGAATGTCTCATGAAACTGAAGTTTCAAGAGGGAGAATTTTGAATCCTGAGATGCAGCACTGTCAGTACGTTACTGATCATGATCCTGAGCCCCTTCCACGCACGTTCCATCCTCACAACCAACCCCCATAAGATCCTTCTTAATGTCATCATGTTGTGTCATAGGCTTTTTCAGTATCCAAGAATACAGCTGCTGTTGATATAATTGAAGTTTAGGGTCATGTGACCTGCCATCCTCATACATTGAAGTGTTGCACTGTGACCTTCTACTGACTAGTATTTAGTTAGTTTCTTTCCTCAGTGTGTTTTTTATTGCTCTTGAACTCATCTTCTCAAACTGTTTGCCCATAATGGACAAGAGGTCGATTAGACACAAGTTTTAGGGAAATATTGGGTCTTTGCTGGGTTTTTGCGCAGAATTATGATTTTTACTTTGTTCCAAGGAGCCAGAAAGTGACTGGGTTGAAAGCAATGATTATATAAACATGTAAAATGTATGAAAGGTCCTCTTGGAAGATGCTGGGGATGTCCATTTGGAATGCCATCTATGCCACAGACATCACAGGGTCAGAATTTAATGGGTGCCTTCATCAGTGGTAGCCAGCAGGGCTTGAATTGTAGCCTCTACCTGTTGCCTCTGGTCACAGTCACACAAGTCATGCTCGGTGAACTGGTTCTCTAAGCAGTCTGCAATTGCATTGGCTTTATCATCTGAATAACATGTGAGGCCTAAGGGACCATGAATTTCAGATGGTGTCTTTGATCCACCCCTTTTCATGTGGGATTTCAGAATAGGCCATATTGCTGTAGGTGTAACTTCACAGTTTGCCAACTTTGTTTCCCATCTTTCAAGTGCCCTTTTCTGGACCATTCTCCTGATATTTTGAGTGACCCAGTTTACTGCCGTTTTCCAATTTGATCCCTGGTTTCTTGCCATAATCTTCTGAGCTATCTTTCATGCTTCAGTAATAGATCGAGGCCAGGTATTTTGTATTTCTGATCTGGTCCCATCTATACACATGTGTATTCAATGTGGTGGGTTCTTCCGGCTGTGTTATGCTTTTGTAAAAGAAGACACGCAGCAGGACACAACAACCCACTGCTTCGACTACACATGGGTATAGAAAGGACCACAGTAATAACCAAAGCCGCAATACAGAATCACAGCAGTTTCCTCACCTATAATTTGAAACACCTTATGTTGACCATATTGGTCAAAAGATGTAGTGATATGTAAAACTTTAAAATATATAAGTTTTAGTAAGTTTTATAGAAAGATATGTTGCATGTTTTACTGTGAAACCAGCAACATTTGGTATGCTCCTGTCCTGATTCCATGCTTGCTTGGTTGAAGGCTGCCCCACATTTTCTTGAATATTGCTGCATAAATATGCAAAGAGCCTGCAAACAGCGATTGACCACCTACGTGCTTGCAGAGGGCGTTTCTATATGTTTCAGCCTTGTGGGCCAACTCCATTTGTCCCTTTTGTGATTCATTTTGGGTGAATTTTAAACTAGCTGCCCTATTTGAACTATAGCTGCTTCACCTGCGTCAGTATCCTTTCTTGCATCTGCATAGTCAACCATTAATACTTCATATTGCTCATTGTAAGATGCCAGCATTGCCTGCCATTGTTTTTTACACTGTTAGTCTGTTGAGCGCCATTTTCTGTGGTGGGTACTTACTTGGTATCATCTCTGCTAAGTGCTCAAGTTGCCCTTCTGATTGTTGCAAGCTGTTCACACTAACTTCTATATATGATGACTAGTCTACCAGTGTGTGCATTCTACAGTTGCTGCAGTTAACTACAATATTAATTAGTTGGCTGGTAGCTGCTGTCCAGCTTCGCTCCTCCTCTGATCCTTTCTCACTTGGACTGAGACTCCTCATCCTCTCCTGAGTGGTTTGGCTGTTAAGTTTCTCCTGGTCCTCCCCATCACAATGATGGCTGACAAATTTAACAGCCAAACCAGTCAGAAGAGGATGAGGAGTCTCAGTCTTAGTGAGAAGAGACCAAAGGAGCTGGAGTCAGACAGCCGCTGCTTTGGTCAGTTGGTTAAATTGCCGCTGGCTTTTGCCAGCACAGTCATTCCTGGCTTCAGTCTCCTTGAGATTTATGATCAAGATTTTTGTTCTGTCATAGACATGTCACAATATGTTTCAAAACGAGGCCTCCTCTCTGACAAGTTTAGTTTGACCTCATTTCATAGTCTCTGCATGGACTGCATAAAAACACTGCAGGCTTTATTGTTGCATCAGTATAGTCTCAAGCAGAAATGTGTTTACTGCTGGGTTGCTTAGCAATGGTCATTTCTATTCATTCCACTATTCTGGCTTTCAGCCACCATGTTACATAATTATGTTTTATTGTATCTTCAGTAAGAGTGCGGTGGTGTTTACACACTGTGACGTACGGGCCCACTTAAAATTAGAATTAGCATTGTTTGACTTTTTTGCGGATCAAATATGTAAGATCAATGGTAGACTGGTTGCCACATGGTACAGTATGACAAATATTATTATTATTTCCCAACTGTAATGCATGTATTATAAATGTTAATATACCTTCCATGGTATCTCTTTAAATTTACTGGTAATTTTTGTTTTCTACTGTTAGGCATCTTGCATATTATTTTAAATTATAGCACACGTCTTGTGTACAATACATCGTTCATATTTCCTGAGAAATGAGATTGTTTGCATGAGTAGTTTCGATGTACTTTCAGTTAATCAGATTTGAACCAATTATTCATTTCACGTTAATGATACTTATACAGGGTGTCCCAGGAAGAATGTGCCAAACTTTGGGAGGGTGTTCCTTATGTTATAGTATGCCGATATAACCCAAAACACCTATGTCCAAAGTTGAACGGTTTCAGAGATAATGGCCAGAGAAGTGTGAAACTTTAACATGTGTTACACACTTGTTGATTACCAAATACATATTAAAACTGGCAGGAATATTGGTTTCTGTAATGTTAATAATGTATATAACATCAAACTAACTTGTGGGTGACATGAAGCCATTAAATTGGACCTCAAAAATACTCGCACGCCATGTCATAGTTGTCCTTAGGGTTCCAAGGACTATACATGACACACGAATGGCAAGCGCTGACGTAACATGGCTGACTGCGCAAAGCCGACTACGTAACTGTACTAATCATACGATCACAGAAAATCTCTTTTGGAATTTTGTTACCATTATCTCGTGGATTATTATGGGACCACGTATGAACATTTCGTAAATTATTTACATCGTCCCGGGTAAAAGACGCCTCATCACTGAATAAAATGATGCTTAACAGTTCGGGATGAGCTTTTATCCGGTGGCACAAATCCATACGCTGAGCATGGTTGCCTGGTTCCAGATGTTGCACCCTTTGATCATGGTAAAGATACAACTCTTCATCATGTAAAGTTCGCCGCACCTGCGTACATGATACGCTGATGCGAGAGGCAATTCTACGAGTGGACAGACGCGGACTTCTCTGAACCATCTCAAGAATGTTCTCTCTTGTGTTTCTCATTCGTACATCCTCCCTTTCAGAGTGCACAGAAACACTTGGAAGAGAACCAGAATCACGCAATGTCTGGTGAATTCGCCTAAATACACTTCGAGATGGAATCCTTCGACTGGGAAAACGCCTTTGGTATTCTTCAACAGCAGCACGTGCATTGCCACCGCAAAATCCATACACAAAATGCATATCACAATATTCCACGTTTGAAAACACAAAAGTCGTTTCAGCAACTCCGCACAATTAACCTCCCACCCATTCAAAACGCGGCCGCAACGTATACTGAACAGAGCTTACAGCTAGTGTGAATCACCACACTCAAGGACAAACATAGATAAGACATGCCAGCTGACAGGTACAGTGCATGGACTCGCCAAAAGACCACACTTTTCTCGGGCCATTATCTCTGTAACCGTTCAACTTTGGACATAGGTGTTTTGGGTTATATCGGCATACTATAACATAAGGAACACCCTCCCAAAGTTTGGCACATTCCTCCTGGGACACCCTGTATATGAGTATCAGTATTTTTTTAATTGCAAGAGGTGTGGGACTAAGTCCCTTGTACTGCGGCCACTTCTGGCCTATTGTACCAGCCACAGATGATAGGTGAGGGTGATTGTGGAGCAAGTGGTGGAATGAAGATTGGCATGGGAAACCGAAGTACTCAGAGAAAACCTGCCCCAGCAACACTTTGTCCACCACACATCCCACTTGACCAGACTTGGGATCGAACCCGGACCGCCCTGGTGGGAACCAGCGACTAACCACTTGAACTATGGCGCGGCCACACCACTGAGTATCAGTAACTGCTAATACATGTGCTGTAATACAGTAACCTGTTTTCTGGTTTTTAGATGAGTCCATCATTGCAATTCGTCATTCATCTGTTGACACCAAAGGGAACAATATGTTTAAAGTTAGAAGAAGTTCAAGAAGTGTAAGAAGAAAAGTTAGATTTGAAGGTAAGAAGGGTATATTTGAAAGTTCCACGTGACATTTTCTGGAAATTTCTGTGGTATTCACTGTATTAATGGCAAAGGTATGCAACTTACAACAAACTGTCCTGTTGAGGTAGGTTGGTCCTCAGCCTTGTGGGAGTCAAATGGGGTTTTTGAGTGTTCCTTTTCTTGGCTTTTGCCATGTACCATTTTCTTGCATCGCCTATACCATTATGTAATCCTCTTTTTCATCTTTCCCACTGGCCTCCTTTGTATTCTGAATGCCCATCATCTCACTCCCACTTCTACCGTATCATTTTCGTTGTTAGTTTGTGACATTAGATAGTGTACCACCAATACATTTCATCATGACGTTCTTCTAGCATTATATATTTCGTAATATTTAAGGCCTCTGTATAAATAGATGCTCCTTCTCACCAGCATGGATATTTCTTTTCTGGTGCTGTTCCATTATTTCAGCGTGATTTCCAACTTTAATGTCTCTATGGGGAGGAGATGGAGGCAATTCCAGGTGTGGAGTGCAGACCAGAAATCATGTACACATACATAATGCCCAATTCCAGTTTGTTCTTGTGCTAAATACAGATCATCTCATGCATATGTATCTCATATGACACATTCTTTTGTCTCAACCTTGCCTTCTGCGGTCCAGCTGTCTCACTGCATCTAATATGGACTTGTCTTTTCTCTCCTTACCATCAGCTTTTCTTCAGAAGAGTGTAATCCCAACTCTTTCCTAGCCACTTGCTGATGTTGCTGCCATTACCTAGCAACAGCTGTTGTATGGCTGCTTATTTTGTGATGCCTAGCAAGGGGACTGCATGCCACATTGTTCCCTTGTCCTGAATAGCCTACAGGCATACTGCCATTTCTTCCTTCCTCAGTGCATTGCTTGTGACATCTGATTAGTCTCGCTTTCCTTCCCCATGGCTTGTTTCTCATGATAGTTACTCCCCAACTGCGCCCAGTGTTCACTCCTTAAGGCAGCTCATCCCAAGCAGTTCCCTGATGAGGGGCCAGGTGGTCCAGGTGTAACACCATCCTTCTTTTTCAAATGGATGACGTCCCTAATAGACGTGCAAGAATTACATATTTTTAAGAAATTTTGAACCAAAATTAAATTATAAAGTGAGCGACATCAATCAGTTGAAATAAATATCAAGTGTACATGAAGTAAATTAAACAAGAAGCCTTACATTTGCAAGTGTATAAATAGTGAACATTTTATACAGTGTGACAGTTTTGGGTTTACACAAAACACCTAATGATGGCCTTTTCAGGCCAAAACATTTTGTAAGGAGGAGAAATAAAAATGAGAATACTTGCATTAGGACTGAATATATTGTGTGATTTTAAAAACATTTCAGATGTTTTTACTCTAAAGGAGTTGTCTTTATGTAAGATTTAGTTCCCACCTTCCTGAAGGATCCTCCCTTACAAATCTGTACAGAGAAAGCTGAAATGATGTTTTGTTTATATATTCTGTTGTTTCAGATGCAGGTGATGATTCACAACCAAAAGAAGTTCAGCCAATGACACCATATATTTCTCAATCACAAAGTGAGTTTTGATATCGCTAACATTCCAGCAGAACGTGTAAAAATGTAGCTTTTCTTTATCTTATCTTGCACCTAACACAAGTACCCTCAATGATATTAAATTTTCTCTGTAATCTTGGCAGTATGTATATTTTGAGGTTTTCATTGCACTGATTATAAAGATTACTGTATTTTGAGATGAGATGCTATGTAGTCTAGTAAATCATCACCAAGCATCTTGAGGATGCTTTTTATCCTCAAGACATTGCTGCTTTCATCTGGATAGTAGAAAGTGAATATGGTTGCAGCAGGTTCCTCTGAAACACCAGTAGAGATCTGGCAGTGTCATGTCCCAGAAAGCAGTAATTCCATTGCAAATCCCATCAGGAAAGCTGTTAAAGTGATTTACAAGTACTGCAGTAGAGTTTTTTTTAATGTGATTCACATCCTCAATGCATATCTGTCTCTTTTATCCCCCCTCCACCAGTTAGGAATTTCAGTTGTTTTTAATCTGAGTATTAATTTTTAAATTTTATTTTGTGGAGTGGGGTTGAGACTGAGTCCACTTGGTATTGTTGGCCACTAATTGGCCTATTATATGAGTGCCAGATGATAAATGATTATGTAGCATTTGGTGGAATGAGGATTGGCAGGGGAAACTGAAGTACTCAGAGAAAACCTGTCCCAGTGCCACTTTGTCCACCATGAATAATCCTACATGATCTGAGCTGGGATTGGATCTGGGCTGCCACAGTGAGAAGCCGGTAACTTACCACTTGGAATATGGCATAGCCATAATATGAGCATTACTATTTTAAAGTTTTAGGTACCATATATTTAAATCCCCCCCGTTGGTGTCTCCACCTTATCACGGTGAGGGGGTTTGAGTATGCCAAGGACCCTGAGAGCTATACCAGCGGTAGCGTAGCTACTGGCAGGGCCTCCCTTGCTGGACAGGTCAAAGTGTAGGCATCAGACGAAGAGAGAGACCAAAAACCAAAAACTGATGCCGGAAGCAGCGTCATCAGCAGCGACTTGAAGCACAGAGCAAATGATGCTCGAGATGGTTCAAGTTCGTATAGCAACAGGCGTGACCAGAGTGGTTTGAACGGCTGTTGTACTGCGATGTGGAAAGCAAATGGAAAAACTACCACATTATCACTTTTCCTGGATAGTCTCTTTCCAAAAACAGAGATACCATGTATGTGAAGACAGAGGGGTGGATAGAAGTGACCAGAAGACATAAGATGATGCTGGATGACCTTGGGGACAGAAGAGGATATTTTTATTTGAAGGAGAAAGCTCTAGATCACATTAAGTGGAGGAACTGTTTTGGAAGAAACTATGGACCTGTCGTCTGACAGATTACTGATGAATGAATGAATATTGAAATATTGACAGAGAAAGCGAAAATATCCTGATTAAAAAATTGTGCTTCTACTCTCTTCCCAAGTTTCTTGCATTTGTATATATGAGGTCTGACAATAAAGCTCGCAAACTTGCCACCATGTCTTTGCCATGGCAGCAGCGGAGAGAACCCTCAGTATGGTGTGATGACGCTGGCATATCAGCATTTTACATCTGCGTTGTTGTTTATCTATGGCGTCTATTATTGTCTGAGTGTGTTTTGGTATGCCGTCACGAGAATGTCGGAGCTTGAGTTAGAGCAATGAACAAACCTTAAATTTCTTGTTAAACTTGGCAAGAGAAGAAGCAAAATCAGGGAAATGATAATGCCAAGTTTACAGGGATAATCCTGTGGAGAAAACAGCAGTTTATAAGTGGGTGACATGTTTTTTCTGATGGAAGGGAAAGTGTTACTGGCGAAGAGAGATCAGAATATCCAGCAATGAGCAGAACTGAAGAAAACATTGCAAAAGTTTGTCAATTGTGCGTGACAATTGTCAGCTGACTGTCAGGAGCATAGCAGAGCAAGTGAACATCGACAGAAAAACAGGAGGAAAATCATAACTGAAGATCTTACATGAGGAAGGTGTGTGCAAAATGGTTCCAAAAGACCTGCTCGCATGGCACTGTCTGTGAGGGTGTTTTTAGCTAGTAAACAAATAACTGTGCTTGAACACCCTCCTTGTTCACTGGATCTAGCCCCCACTGCTTTTTTCTGTTCCTGAAAATAAAAGAAATATTGAAAGGAAGGCATTTTGATGACATGAGGAGTAATATGATGGCACCTCTGAAGGCCATTCCACAAAACCAGTTCCAGAATTGTTTTGAAGTGTGGATTATGTGCTGGCATAGCTTCCCAAGGGGCGTACTTGGAAGGTGACCACAGTCATACTTAGGAATGAGATGTGTAGCACTTTTACCATGATGAGTTCCTGAACTTTATTGTCAGACCACATATTAAAAGTGTTTAAGGCTTGAACTCCCTATGCATAACCACGTCTTTAAAAATCATATACCTTGATGTTCTAGCATCATTACACTAAAATTAAAAAATAATTCCCTTCCAACAACAAAGATAAAGCACTGGGTAAATTAATGATTTCCCCTGTGAGAGGTCAGGCTGCTTGAGAATCTTGGATAAGACTGTGGATTGGTTTCATCCTAAAGCTGTCAGCAAATGGAGGCATTTTTATAAGTACAGTATGTGCCAAAATATTCAGTACTGAAACTCGTGCATCTCGAACGTGCATGTTCATTTGTTGACAGAGCATAGCTCCAGCCACACGTGTTCCCAGTAATGAAAAGGAAGTTGTGTTGTGCAGTTGTTATTGGAAATGGGTCTCTCAGCGGAGGAAAAAGTATTCATAGTTGAGTATTATTTCTGCTCATATGGAAGTGGTCGCTAGACAACTCGCTTCCTTGGTTTTGAGTGGCCAGATGGTATTGTCCAGAAACCGCTACATACCGTATTTACGCATGTATAGGCCGCACATTTTTTGCCAAAAATTCAAGAGGAAAACTGGGGTGCGGCTTATATTCGAAATATTCGAAATCACACTTCATTTAAAAAAAATTATATTCATAATTAGTAATACAGAGTGTTCTACTCCTGAAATAATATTCCAAGAAAATTATTTTTTCTGTAATTTCTGTCTGAAAATTGTGCTGCGGCCTATACATGCATAAATACGGTATTACACTTGTGACAATATGATGTGCCGTCTCAGCACACGGTATATTAGGCCCCTATTTCATTGAGGATGAGGAAGGCAATGCTCTTACCATCACCTGAAAATGCTACAATGACATGGTGATCAGACCATTTCTTCAGGATTTCAGAAGGTTCTGTTGTGGAAGGGGCCTTCATATGAATAGACAGTGGTATCAACAGGACATCTTTTTATTTCAGTACTGTAAGTTTTGGCGCATACTTTACTTATAATTTTTGTGCATTTTATTCTGCACGTAAGATTCTTACACCGTCCTGAATCTCCATGACATGAACAATTCAGTTCCAGTATCGAGTTTTGAACTGCTTATACAATGGAGGGGAATCAGAGATATATTTCCTCATGCCATTATGCATTCCTCATCATAGGAATGGGTGAAAGCTGCTGATTGCTGTAGTGAAGAACTGGGTTCAGTTTCATTTATTGTAGCATTGCTGTTTCTGTTGTGTCATTCATTGTCAGTCATCCCTGCTTCATTGCAGTATGTGGACAAGTTGCTTAGCTGGGATTTCTGTCCATCCACTGAAGAGTAAGCATTTGGTGGGAGTAAAGTACTGTCTACTTTCCCATTGCCAATTGCATTTGTCTTCCTTTCCATTAATTTCATTAATATACCAGTTGCAACAAAAGTGGTGTGCCCTTGACATATATATCACCATAAGTTCAAGGACAACTGCCTAATTTCTCCTACAGTTTCTTATTGGTTCTTCCCTGTGAAAAGCCTAACAGAATCCATCAGTCAGCTCACAAATTTTATTTTGATCCCAAGTGTGGCTGTCTTTCTGTGGTTTTCTTGATTCAACCTCTGTATCTTTCATAACTTGTCAGTTCCTAGATTTTCTTGGGGATAATACACAGCTTTGAATTTTTCTGGCTGGTGATTGTTGGCTGGCCATGATTCCCCACTATTTTTTAAGTTTTATGAAGTGGGAAAGGATATATTTTTTGAGCTAGGGTGACTGCCGTAGAACTGAGATGTGTATCTGTCAGTTTCAATAGCTATTTGATCCCAGAATGCATCATGGGCCATTCTGTTATGAATATCAGGTGGGCTTGGATCTGGTAGCAACTGTCTACTCAGCCTGGCCTTTCAACAAGATGTTTTGGTGAAACTATTTTTTATGCTTCTTGAGTTTTATTCCCCACTTTCATGTGCCATCCTTTACTTTTCTTTATATTGTGACATGTTGCGCAACGAAGGACCCCTACCTCCCCAGCGGCGCGTGGCGGTAACGTAGCGCTCGCGTAATAGGCGAGTCATCACCCCGCCACTCTCCCCGCGGTGACGTCACGAGCGGAGCCAAAGTGAGCCGAGCGGAGCCGAAGTTAGCCGAGCCCCCGCAGCCTGGTAGCTATGCAACGCGAGTCAACAGCGGTGACGTAACAGGATGACGTGGCACTTATTACGCAACAGGCAAGCACTGCGGCTACATAAGTGAGCTGCACAGCGGCTGCGAGTCAGTTGTAATGTAACAGTCGCCGAGTCGAGTTGTAACGTGGCCATCGCCGAAGACAGTCCTCGAGCTACCTCCGAGAGTTCCGAGCAAGCCAATGAGTCAATGTGTTATCAACAGTTCTCCAGTCAGCCGACTACAGTTGGAGTATAGCAGCCGTCGCGGAAAGAAGAACCGGACGTGTGTGTAATTGTGTAATTGGGAGTGTGTGATACAGTGATACGGAGCTCCCCTACTGTAAACGTGTAGACTACTGAAGACAGAGTGAGCTGATTTGCGCATAGGGTTATAAATCGTGAAACCCCGCAACAGTGGTAACAGATTAATGCAATTAGGGTTATAAAGTGTGAAACCCCGCAACTGTGTGATAAGTAATTGTAGCCGTTACTTCTAGATCGTTCAATAAACCAATTAATGATCTCTACGGCGTATTCAATGTCTAAACATGTTACAATATGATACTACGTGGTCCACTGACACCACTAACTTCATTGTCATTTCCGTTTTTCGCTTAGTGAGGGGTGGAGTCCAACTGGGTCCACTCAGTACGGTGGCCACTGATTGGCCTATTGTAGCCTGCCCTGGGTGATTATGATGATGGAGAATTTGGTGGAATGAAGATTGGCAGGAGAAACCGAAGTACTCGGAGAAAACCCGCCCCAGCTCTGCTTTGTCCACCACAAATCCCACTTGACCAGACCCGGGATTGAACACTGGCTGCCGTGGTGGGAAGCCAGCGACTAACCGCTTGAGCTATGGCATGGCCTGTTATTTTGATTACTCTTCATAATATTTTCAAGATTTGATCTGCCGCTGACATCTGAACAGAACTCGGCTTGCATCTTCTGATAATTAAATTCTACTGTCTAATAATATAAAAATGTTGGCACCTATAAATTATGCAAAACCTGTGTTGTCTTGCCATTGAAGCTATTGGGTGAGTACAGATATATAATTAGGAAACAATTACAAGTGTTACAATTTATCAACTTGACTAAAGCAAGCAGCATTCAGTAATTTAGCGCTTCAGCTACAAGATGATGTGTAACATGCCATGCTATGCTATGCTATGATATATATTGGCACCATGAACACATTGCAAATAATTGGCCGACTCAGCCAGCTACATCTGATTGGAATTCATTGTGCCAAATGGGTGGTAATCTGCAGTGGTTTAACTGATGGGTATTCTGTAATGATCAGTGATCTGTTAAAGGGCCAGAGCGGAGATACAGTACAAGAATCAGCCTGCTAGGAAGCCTGGATGCTGATGATATTGTTATGCCACTAGCAACAGGGGATCTCATCTGCTTGGATTCTCCAGTATCAGGTGAGTAATGATGTATGGTCAATTTAATAATGTTTAATAATGCGGCGTACTTGATCAACTCGCTTCCAGGCAACATCTCTATAAACACAATATGTGCATGCAACAGTAGAGCAAGCTGTGTTTTCCGTGTGTCCGGCAGTTTGCGCAGGAGTGGTGACATCACACAGCAAAAGTAAGTGGTTATCACATGACATGTGCTTCCTGCGTAACCTTCCACTTGTGCATGTGCAGTGACATCACACAACAGTGGGTATGGGTCACGTGATATGTGTTTACTGTTGGTCGATGTCCATTCTTTGGCTGTATAAGTGAGCGGAATTCCTAAGCTGGCAGAGAGAAATAGTAGCGGCAGAAGTATGTGAACGGAACAAATTGGAATGAAGAGTACAGAGGAATACAGCAGGTCGACCTGTGAGGATTTAAAGTGTGATTTGAAGATTTTATGTGTAGTATTTGGAGTAATTTGAAGCTGGTTTCTTAGCTAGATGTCAGTGACATGGCATTCGTCTAAAACTTCATCATGGCCATTTCATTTTTATCACCATATTGTGTGTATATTTTATTTTATTTTATTTGAACTCATACCATAGTCATCAGATTAACTGTATAATTTAATTATTAAATTTGATACTAGAGATCTGAGCTCACCTCCAAGAATTTGTTGGCATTCATTTGTAAAGGGTTTTATCTTCTTTTTAAATATGCTCTTTTTTTTCCCCTGTAGAACCTCGTCGAGTTACTCGTCGATCAGTTCGTCTCAGCACCCAAGCCCGAAACTGAAGGTTTGAAAATATGACAGGCAATGATTAGTATATCATTTTGATTCAAAATTTAAAATACTGATGTACAAAAAATTTAGTCCCAAAACTCTTGGTGTACTTGCATTTATTCATATGTAAACATAATAAGTACAAAAATCTTGTTAAGTATTAAGATTTAGAAGAAATAAATAGAGTTCCGCATTTCTTCTTTTTCTCCTCCTCCTTTCCCTCCTCCATCTTATTCTATAGGGCGTTAAATTTCAGCATCAGTTGCTTGGTTCATTTCAGAGCAAATTCCATTATATATATTGCCATGGCATTTGTGCTTTCCATGTAGCCACTGTGCTGTAGAGCTGGTTTTCACCACAAATGCCCTTGATGCTTAAGTGCACAAGGCAAAATATTGTCATAGTCCTTAATCTACTATTATCAAGCTCTTTCTCTTCCTTTTTGGCTTTATTTTCACCTCGTTGACTGTGCTCAAAGTTTGCAATGTTTTAGAAGTGAGTTACTAACACACTTGGAGAAACAGTCCCATGATTCTGCCAAAAGAAAATGCATAGAATCAGGAACAGAAACTTTGATGATGTTAATCTTTATAAGCTGAATCGGCAGCGTAGACAGAAGCTACTTCCAAAAATATTTTATCCTTGATTACTCTTTGATCCATTGGCTGTGTAGTGGATGTTTCATATCCTGGGGGGGTCAAACACAAGGTAGATGCTAAGACATGTGGTGAGTGTCATGCCTTGTCATTTTAGAAATTAAAGCTTTTAGCTTTGTTATCTAGGAACTGGGGTGGTGGCCATATTTTCATTTGGATGTAACAGTTTTTCATCAGGCAATAGGGGATTTTAGACATCCCACTGCTACATGTCTGGCAGCTTGTTTTTGATGGTATAAGCATGTTAACATAGAAAAATTGCAGTGCTTTGCTAGGTGCATTGCACAGTACACGGACCCCTAAAAAATACTTCATAGCTGGTAAGAGTTAATAAATTCCTGAAAAGTAACATATGTTACCCATGTTGATTTGTTGCTTTTTTATTGCATTGCAGTTCTTTTTATGATTTTTAAACCTTGGTTTTTAAAGTTCGTACTGACTATTAGTCTGTCCTTTGCTTATCTTTCTCTTATATCATAATTTTTTAAAGGCATGTGTTATTTAATGATAAACTGCAAACTGAATCACATTCATCTCATATCACAAGATTTATATGCATCAGGCAGACAAAGTACTCCTGTAGTTGAAGTTTTTTTAATTTCAGTTTTATTCAACATTTGTACAGGATTTTGGACATGGATGTATGTAAAAACTGAAGTTAAATGTTGTCTTGATACAAGCATATATTGCGGTAAAGGTTAGTATCTTCTGTCATGTGATACCATGTAGTTTTGGTAGATTATAACCAGTATTTTAGAGTAATCTTTTGCATTCATGTTCAGAATAGAAGAGGGAACTATTCTAGCCTGAAGATGGAAGCAGCCCATCCCTTTGAAACACTGGCATTAGCTACCAGACTACATAGTGCCACATCTCAAAAGACAGTATTGTTGATGATCACTGACTCGAGAACCTCTAATCTTGGCATATGTTGCAATAAATTACATTTCTGATATCACACCACTGTATGTGAGCCATACAGTTGGTTGTTTAGCTCTCCTAGCATCCAGTGAAAGTAGCTGCTATGAACTGGGACATCACATTTATTCTTTTAAATTAAAATGCTGAATATTGTGTGTTTTTTTTATTGCTAGTGGGGTGGGACTAAGTCCCTTGTACTGCGGCCTCTTCTGGCTTATTGTACCAGCCCCAGACGATAGGTGTGGGTGATTGTGGAGCAATTGGTGGAATGAAGATTGGCAGGGGAAACCGAAGTGCTCGGAGAAAACCTGCCCCAGTGCCACTTTGTCCACCACAAATCCCACTTGACCAGACCCGGGATCGAACCCAGGCCGCCGCGTTGGGAAGCCAGCGACTAACTGCTTGAGCCTTGAATGTTGTGTTACTCACTTTTGATACACTATATTGCATTAAATGAGAACTACTGAAATGCATTTGGTCAATGGCATTTAGCTATGACTAGGATAACTGATAACAAGTAATTCAAGCATTTTTTGCAAAGTGTGAAACAGTGTGCAGCAGTCTTTCAGGTTGCAATTAAGCCAAATACAGAGATTTCTCTATTTGATGAATGCAGGAATACTTTAGTTTATGTCATCTTAATTGGAGGTAGTGCAAAATTATGTCAAAACACTTACTGTCCCCCCAGAAATAGTTAAACTTTTTATACACAAGTAATTACAATTATATAATGAATAATATGAAATTAATTTCTAGAAGAAGTAATGGCAAGAAAAAAACTGTTCCTATGCAATATGTATGCTTACATAACAATATTAAATTAATTTCTGAAATGTTAATGACATGAAATATAGACAGTGATACTGTAGGAATTGTTTCCTGCATGGAGAAAACATGAATATCCATTATTGCATGAACCACAGTCACATTACAGTGGAGTCACGTCGTACACACGTTTAAGTTACATGAATTCAATCCTACGCTTTTGCCAGAAAAGTAAAAAGTTATTCATCTGACATGTCTGTCACCCAAGCCCGGCCCAGCATTTCTGGGATTGACATCAAGCCCTGACTACCTGTAGGTTTACTATTTTCCTTTTGTATTCTTTCTATGAGCCGATTGTCTAGATAATGTGGGAACCTCAACATCTCACAACCCTATGGGCCTCCATGGCCTGTTACAGGGATACCTTTACTTTTATTATTCTTTCATTCTGTCTGTCTCTCTGTTTTGTAAGTAACTGAAAATAAAATTGCTGTATACTTTACTTGTATATGTACTCATTATATACAAAAGCCAGTACTTATCAGTAATTTAAGGGATTTTTAAAGGTAATTCTAACCAATTTTGAGTTTATGCACCATTTTTTAACATAACACTGCATTAGATGTGATTCCACTGTACTTTTTAAATTGAGGTGTGAATTCTGGAAGGTCAAAAATGTCTTATACTAAATCGAAACAAACTACAGTATGGTATTTCACTATATGCACTGTTCTGATTACATCTTAGTTGTGTGATAGAGTGTGGCACTACTCAGCATAGCATTTCTGTGTATAGTAGAATTGTACTCATGTTAGAATAGGAGTAGCAAGTAGCACATAGTGTAAGTTCATGAAACATCTGCATGCAGTATATTATGCCTGTAAATATATTGTAATATAATACTCTGATACTTACTCTGAAGAGATACATAATGTATAAGACTTGAGACAATGTTGCCAATTGAAACTGTTTGTTTGCAGTTCATGGCGAATTCTCTGTGACTGTTGACAAAAAAAAAGTATGATTTTTGTAGCTGTGGTAATGAATGTTTTATATTGATTTTGTGTTACTTCACTACTTCATAGCAAGTTATGTAGAAGTAAAGTGTGAACAGTGTCTGTTATTTGTACATTGCCTACAAATTAAAAATCGGCTTACGACATGATCTCAAATCAGTAGTAGATTTGTGGAAGGCAATGAAGTGTTCCTCATATTTATAATTTTAAGAATTCATACTTGTATATTTCATATCCCAAGTACAATATTTTAAGGATAGATATTACTTCAGCAGTTGTATATACAATTCATAAACATGTAATACATTTTTAGTTAATCTTAATAAATTTAGACTAATTTTCATCAGCTTTGTAAACACATTTATTTGTTCTTTGGCCGTTGGTGGTACACTTGCACTCATTTAAGCACCATTTTATTGATTAGCTCAGGTGTTCTGCACTAGCTGCCATGTAATCATTCTGCTCAAACCCTAGGTGGCTGGCATGGTCTGTGTGAAGAAAAGTGACACTGGTAGCACACTTAAGATAAAGTGAATGCTGGCTGGAGATCCCAGAACGCACAGTATCTGGGCAGTGCATGACAACGTCTTTACTGGTCATGTGTGAGAATGGCCTTTTAGTGCAAAACAGAAATTTGGGAAAATTATGGCAATGAGATGTGAAAGAGAATTTTCTCTGGTTGGCCAATTTTTTCACTTTAATAATTGATAATGCTAACCACTTTTTTCTTTGTGCTACTGTATTTAACCAAGTGGAAGATTATTCTGAATTACTAAGAAGAACCTGTACTAGGAAACATATCTGCATATGATAAGTAACTTCATGAATTAATTCCATAAACTTATTACAAATGCGTGAAAGAGAATAAACACTAGAAGTCATCATATTAGTTTCCTTCTTCGAGTTAGCCTTTATTTAGCTTCAGCAGTTTCACTCTCTTCACCATTTCTATCTATGACTCAGTTTCAGAGTCTTTGCAATTCCCAGTTTCTTGCTCATCCTCCAATCCATCCATTCCCTAAGATGTACTACAGTTTTTAAATCCTTTGAATATTACTTCCAGAGAGATCCACTGCCATGGTCTTGACCCACTGGCACAGAAGTTCCACACTGGCCCTCCTTATTGTTCTGGCAGTGTCAGCACATGATCCTCTGCCAAAAGCTATTGAAAATACAGTTCTTTCAAATGATTCTTAACATGCTTATTCCATAGACCATATAATTATGAAGTTATCCTTCTACATATGGCCACAAGGTCACTATTCAAGGCATNACCTCCTTATTGTTCTGGCAGTGGCAGCACATGATCCTCTGCCAAAAGCTAGAAGTTATCCTTCTACATATGGCCACAAGGTCACTATTCAAGGCATGCCTAACAAGTTGATATGCCGTGTTAAATGACCTTTGAATACTTCCATCACAGACATTCCCTGATTTCTCAGAAAAATCTCCATCTCCTGTTCCAGACGACTTCTAACCAGTCACCTATGAGTTCATTAGTCATCCACCCCTTTTTTTCTTAATTCGCATATTGAGGGGTGGAGCCCAGCTGAGTCCACTTGGCACGTTGGCCACTTATTGGCCTATTGTACCTGCTCTGTGTGATTATGATGATGGAGAATTTGGTGGAATGAAGATTGGCAGAGGAAACTGAAGTACTAGGAGAAAACTTGCTCCAGTGCCACTTTGTCCCTTACAAATCCCACTTGACAGACCCGGGCTCGAACCCAGGCCACCATGTTGGGAAGCAAGCGACTAACTGCTTGAGCTATGGCGCGGCCTCGTCCGTCTTTTAGTTTGGTACCTGATCAGTAATGCTAGAGGCAGCTCGGTCTTGGCATATTTCTTCAG